AGAGATTCAGAAGTCGAAAGATGTACAGCGAAAACAAACGATTGTTATATATATAACAAGAAAAGAAGATCCAGCTGCGCGCAAAAATAGAGAATGGTGATTTTCAGGACGATCGAATGCCGGGACGATCGTGTTTGACTCGGAGCCTCGTCTTCGAGGTGTACAAGCCGTTTGCTTTCACTTTCTCACGTGGTAGAGATGAGCAAGACATCCCCCTCTATATATATATATATATAAGCATCACCATCGCCGCAAGGCTGAATTATTTGCTAGCCGGTTAATCCCGGTGGTCATTGTGCGCTAAGGGCGTCACAGGCAAAAGCTGAAGAGTGACATTTGACTTTTGCTTATTAATGTTGTATCCTGCAGCGAGAAAATGATGCCACGCGCGCGCGCACACACACAAAAGTTCGCGAATACCAGGAAATCAAAGTCACGCGAAAGGTCACAATAAGCCGAAGCAAACCACAGTTTTTTAATAACTTCGGACTGTGAATTGTAAAATTACAAGTAAAAGAGAAAACAAGCAGTTTTAAAATAAGTAAAATTACAAGAGTAAGAGAATAAGACAGTTTATTAGCTTGTTTTGTAATTAATATTTAACGTATTGGAATGTGCACGATACTATGCACGGTAATTATGATAATAAACGTTACGCAATTATAATACACCGATATGTTGATAATTATTAAAATGAAATCCATTCACTTTCTCTTGTATGAAAATGTTGCATATACACACAAATACGCGCGTTATGTAACGACGAATGTCACAGGTCGGAGGATCGTAAAGAATCGATTTGTGATCGAGAGTGTGTAGCCTCTCTGTAGACAAAACCTGTTATCGCAATATTTCACGTGCGCAATTTGCACGAAAAGAATTTCTACTCTCCTTCAATAGTACTTCGTTTTCGAAAAGAACGACATTTGCGGTAATTACCGCGAAGGAATTGCAACGCCTCGCCTTAACGAGGTTTACGACGAGAAAATTGGCAGAGCTCGTAAAGCTATTTTCCACTTTTTTTTTTTCATCTTGTCATTTTGATGGCGCGAGACGCGTAATGGCGCGATCCACCGAGAGTTGCGTGTTTGACATTTGCGTTTGACAATGCGTTTGTTTTTACCGAGTTAAATAAAAATACCGAAACGCGCATTATTTACAAGAAGACTGAACTCAAAAAACAGAAAATCCCCTGGCGTCAGTTTTGCTACACTTTTCCGCGCCTAGTTCTCTATCGCGAAAAAAACTAATCGCTCGTCTTCTCGCGCTTGTTTTCCAAAGAGCCGTACAATGTTGTACATACACGCGAGAGAGATATCCTTGGCGAATGAACTCGCGCCAAACGCGCACGTGTTATTCCGGTGGAGGACGTTCCCGACAAAAATCTCGACACTTTCACTATCTCGAATCGAAGTGCGTGACAACGAACGTGGTCGGCGAGTTCAGAAGAAAAAAAACGGGAAACTTGGTTCGTTTATTGGACGTACATCTTCAAGGCTGAACCTTACGGCGCGGAAGATGTACATGCGTGCGCGCCTGACGGAAGCCCGGAGATGTACCTGCATACACTTAGCACCTTTTTTGCATCCGCTTTTGTAAGATACCTCGGCAGAAGGATACCTTGTACGGAGGAATCGCTCGACAATCTTGTGGAACACGAGAGCTTATAGAAACGAGCGGGAACGGAAGCGCGTGCCTGTTTGCGCAACGTTACGTATTTTTAGAGGAGAAAGGCGTGTGTATCGGGAAGATCGCCGGCAATTTCGACCGAAAAATGCCATCAAGTGGAATAACGAGCGAACTATAAATTAGCAGGTCAATTTCTTCGGGACAACTTTTGTTCTAGAGAAAAAAATTATTTTCTAATCCGAAGCGACTGTAGCGCAATGTTAGAGGATGTACACTTTTGTGTTTTTGTTTTTAAATAACTTTGCGATTGTTCAAAGCGAATAAAATGATTCGCAACTAAAGAGGCGCTGCGGATTCGTCATTGAGACGAATGCGGAAGTATCAGCCCGTAGCATCGTTACAAAAAAAATAGTTCACGAAGACCTTTGACCTTCCGCTCGCTTTCTCCGTCAGCGTGCCGACGTTCTATTCAGAAATTGTCATGCTCTTAGAAAGAGACGTATTAATGAGATACAATAAAATTGTCGAGAGCCTGACATTTAAATGGTACAAGTATCTGGAAAGAAAAAGACCGAGATCAATTTCTAAACTTAAATATTTCATACGACTTTCGCAATTTCAAAGACTCTGTACACGCATTGTCAAGTAATCGTAATTAAAGTAATTAATTGTTAGAAGTCGCACCGTACAAATTGCTTCTTGATATGGAGCGTGAATAAAGTAAAGGGAGACAGGCTCGGTGGAATAAACCGTAATTGGAGATATCCCGTCGTCACCTGCGATTCTACAGAATTCCACCTATCATTCGGGCTGATTTATCGAGCCGAGCCGACGCTCGCAATCGCCGGCAATAAGCGCGACTGCAGGAATCATCGACGGAGAGAAGTCCTTACGCCTACTCTCTTACGACGACGAGGATTATCTCTGTAAGTGCAAATATCGTTCCATCTACGAACGAACCGAAAACAACTTTCGCCCTCCAAGGCTGAGAAGATTCCTCGCGGCGCGGCGCGCAGAGCTCATCGCCGCGCGCGTAATAGAGACGGACGGTCATTGAAAAATCTAAATGCCCCCAACTCGTTAATTACCCCATTACCTCCGAGACATATACGTATACGGTGACGAAATGAGTCTCTAATTACTATAATGGATATCGCGAAATACTAACGAGAAATGAAATTAAACGAGAGCTCAGTATGATCCGATGTCTACCGAGCATCAGAACGAATTTGCACGTTTTATGCGCGCTTATTATAAAATATAAAGAGATGATTAAATTATTTTATAAATATGTTTATATTGCAATAAATATCAATTAAAAATGTGTTCTTGCAAGTTTTTTCTTTTGTTCAAGATCGACATCGATCGAAAAAGTCTAATTTCACGCTTCATCCAGCGAACGCGACAAGAGCGACGACGATTTTGCACGACGTTCTTTTCTATTCTAAAACTGTCGCAAAGGTGTTTTTGCTCCTCTCTTTCTCTTTTAAGGTATCGCAACGGCATCGTGCAGGATGCACGCCATAGGCGGGGAATTGCGAAATTTCGACTGTCGAGGTACGACCTCGATCTTCGTGCGACTGCGGCAAGTGAATCGAGCCACGTGACCTGGGCTGCAACTCGTAGACGAATCCTTCGCATGTTTCTGCGCCGCATATAAGATACCCGCGGAAGCGATCTTATCGCGCCGAAACGATCGACTGCTGCAATTCCACTTTATAACGAAACCTCCTCCTGTGATCGAAAAGATTTCTATCCGTGTACAACACGTGAGACCTGTGTTCGTTACTAATTGTGTGCGGCAATGTATCCCGAGAAATCCGCGAGAAAGTTTAGTTTCAGTGTTTCGAGATGCCAAAAGTCGTTTCGCGCGACATAGCGAAGATATCTAAATGCCGACGAAGAATTCACTACGTTTGTATCCGCGCGACTCTCGCGCGCAATTATCCGACAAATTTCGTCCAGTTATTTCAAGTATCTAACATCGTTAGAATGCAGTCTCCGGAGATAATGGAGCGACCCGGCCTAAAGTGTGTGTTACGCGCGGTGACCCGAACGTTCTAAACGACAAGGTGGCTCGCTTCTTTTCGTTTACCTCGCTCGTCGCTGTTGCTGCAAGGAATGCAGCCGAGCACTCCTTGGATGCGCCCTCCCAACTAGTCTCGCGATCTCGCTGGCAAAGGCCATCAAACGACCGGTCACGCCGAACTTGCGCTGGCAAACGGTGTAACTCGCTCTCGAGAAGCGCGTTTTCTATTGAAGATAAATTTAGAAGTGTTGCAAAATTATCATCGCACAGACACACACATTTTCTATTTTGTTTTAAGCGTTACAATAAAAAAAATTCGAGTTAAAAATGTCGAAAAGGGTTATTTTCTCCAAATTCTTAAAACATGTAAATTTTTTGCGTTGAAAAATGCAGCGTTTATCGTATCACGTAACTTTACGGTAACTATATACCACGCGGCAAGTGTGGTTTCTCACACAAAACGCAATTGCTTTGAAATTCCATTACAATAATTGTCGCTAAGGGGCATCGGTTTCTTTCTCTTATCTCCGTTCAAGGCGATGTGATGTTATCTGTCGCCACCTCCCGCCACGAACGATTCAATGCAAAACGCGAACTTTCTTTTTACAGCGCCATGATACTACGAAAGCTCATCGTTCACGGAAGCAATCCGTCGCAAGGACAAATGAGATAAAACGAATTCGATGTTTTTCTCTGCGCTCTCTTTTAACAGTATCTAACTCTCTCTCTAGTTAAAAAAGAAGTAATATCTCTAGAGATCTCGCTAAACTTCAATATTTATTCCAACGCCTGAAGCTTGCGCGATCGCGCCTTTTACGATCGTTGTTATCCTTGACACAAGTCTCTAAACGGAAATAGAACCTTAAACTACAGAAATTGCAATTTCTTTTCCAGCCGAACAAGTTCTTCCGCGCGTGAGCAGGCGACACAATTGCCGACCACCTACGTTATTATGCATCGCGTGCGGGAGAAGTCTTCGAGAGATGATAATGTTTCCCGCTTTCCCGCGTCGCGGTTTCTCTCCGCGTCGACACTCATCCACTGTTGCATCCACCTATCTACGTGGCGGTAAAACGTGCAAGTTACACGGTAATACACCGGTATGCGCATATCTACGCTGAATGCAATTTCATATGTTACGTAATTGTAGAAGGCAATTTTGGAATTACAAGCTTGCGAGTTTCCGCACATCTGTTTGGACATAAAATTAATTTGAGTGTAGAGAGCAGATTTCTATCTTATAAATAAAACTATAATTCGAAAAATCTAATTACTTTTGGGGTAATATTTTGTGGAATACTTATGCTCGCAGTCTATTGCTGCTGCTGCTGCTGCTGCTGCTTGGTGAAGCGAGCTCGATTGCCAGAAGTGACGTAACGAGAAAGACGTCGTTACGTTCTTCAGCGCGGATCCCGTACACATTCTCTTCTCCGCAACATGACGGGGCCCCTACCCCATCGTCTCTCACGCGGCTCACCCGGCAAAGTTTCATCCTCCCAGAAGGTATCTTCTCCGACCGTGTTCTCTCTGCTCTTCTCATGCTCGAGCGTTCTTCGCGCTGCTGCAGTCGCGTCTACGAGTCCCATCGCGCAAGGTAACGCGGGAGTGTGAACTAAAATCCAAAGCGCAATCGAGAGTGAGAAGCAATCACCCCCGTAGATCCGACGAGCAACATGGAGTCCACGAAACGGCACATTGTTCTGATATCGGGTACGTGTTTCGAACGCAGTGATATTGAGTTTAGTTGCTAAAATAGATCTCGAGAAAAAAATTGTTTCGTGCTAACAATATTTATTCGTAAAAATGGATTAGTTGTTACGTGTATGGTAATATATCTTCGTGAAAAAATATTAAATCAATATGAGTAAATCCAAAAATTTGTCTCTTCAAGTATTTGAATAAATAAAATAAAAACTTTTTATTTTCTCAAATTAACATTCGTTCGATCTATCTTTTTTATAAATTGCCGATATAAAAAAACTAAGAATACACAATACTGCAGACTATAGTAGATTGGCTACTTGTCCCTAAACATTTGAATATTTGGCATGCGCTTCTCGAAAAGGTGTGTGTTTATTCGGTGATAGTTTTAAAAGATCTCATTTAAAACACGTTTGTAGAAAACGCGGTGTTACTTTCGATCGAACACAATTCCCTCGTGCGTGTGATCACGACTGCATAAATATCCACACTCTTTTATGCATACAGATACTCACCGAAATAGAAAGGTGCATCGACATCCGCCAAGACTATATCGCTACTGGATCTTCATGATCCGTGAAAAGACATTCACCGTGTGTTCGAGTTTTCGGTCGCGTGTTTACAATCGAATATCCGAATATATTTCGATCGAAGAGATTTGATGAAAGATTTCTTTATAGATCTCATGAAAGTGCATCAGTTCTTTTAGATTGAAAAAAAATCGCGAGTCATACTCGTTAAAATATTAATATGAACTATTCTATCTCTTTTCTACTCCTCAATATATCGTCATATACAATGTTTGGGTATCTGATTGCAGTGGGAATATTATGGGGTTGCGTATTAGGTCTGCAGCGGCCACCGCCAAGGTATTCTCAGCAGTACATGCCGGAAACCTCGTTCAGTTGTCGCAACAAAATTGTCGGCAGTTATTATGCAGATCCTGAGACAGACTGTCAAGTCTTTCACGTTTGCGTCTCTGTAGCTGGTACTATTCAAGACTACAAGTAAGTGCGTGTATGCTATACGTTGAACTTTCTAAATTTTTCAGTTACATAATTAAATTACACATTTAGAGAAAGTTTGTTCGAATCATTAAATTTATCAGAAGTCAATGGTGATTTAATTATTATTTAGGTTCTTATGTCCCAATGATACTGCTTTCGACCAAGAAAGTCAAACCTGTGCGGATTGGTACGACGTGGATTGCGAGGCCGCTACTCTGTACTATGCCAGCGACAACTTCGATCTGTACAGAATCGGTTCCGGTCTGGAATCCGTGCATTATGACAACTTACGCAGCGACGCCGAACCACAGGATCATCTTCAGCGTAGCGAGACCAGCGACGCGGTGCGCTCCTCCGCGAACGCGGTGAACCGAGTGTCCTCGTCAAATTACAATAATCGCGACATACTGCGCGGCAGCAGTAGCAGCAATTTCTACAACAGAAACAACAAAGAAGACGAATACGAGAACGAGAAGTCGTATAAGGAAGACGCGAGTCAGGACAACAAAAAGAAGGGCGGTGTTAGGAAGGTCAGCAGGAAGCAATCGTTTAGCAATGGCAATTATTCACCGTCGAGCACAACATCGGCACCGACTGTATCCAATCAGAACAATTATAATAACGGCAATTATTATAATGGTAATGTATACAATCAACGACCCACAACGTACGTCGTCTCATCGACGACCGTTCGACCTCAAGAGAACTATAAAAATCAGAACACACAGAGATATAGCGCACCGTCATCCACATATCGACCGAGCACGACATATCAGGAAGCTTTCAACAACTACCAGTCGCCTAGCACAACTTCCAGAACGACTCCGCAAAACATTTATAACATCTACAACTCGAACTACAATCAACAAAGTACCGGTAGCTCCACTCAGGTCACAACGCTAAGACCTAGCAGCTACAACCCAAAGATCTATCAAAATTATCAGAGTCAGTTCCAGCAGTCCACCACTATTCAACCAAGCACCAAGTACCAGACCGTTGATTATACAAATTACCAACAGAAAAATTACAACAACATCCAACGAGGAACCAGCAACGTCGCGTACCAGTCTACCACACCTGCGTCCGCTGCTTACGATAATTACAATAATTACAATAACAACAACGGACAGTACAGACCGATCACGTCGACCAGACAGGACGTTTCTCAGACCACTGCGAAATATTTCACCAACAATTTTGCGAGCAATAGTTACACGCCTACCACCTACAGTCCAGCGACGAAGAAGTACGTGAACGGAGACAACAACGTCGCGCAAACTGCTCTGAGAAGCAACGACAATAGCGGTCAGTACTACGATAAGACGAGCCAAGCAATCAAGCCCTCCACTCAGTATTACGACAGCACAAAACCACCCAAGAAAGCAACTCAGTACAGCTATGATAACGGAAGCAGCGGTAAGTCGTACTACATCGAGACCAGCACGAGCGGCTTCGATCTGGTGAGATCCTCTGCCGGTATCGGTTTTAGTCCCGCGAGTATCAATCATCTCGCCGAATCGCCGAAGAGCACCACGCCAGTACCAAGGTAAGTTTTCAAGCTTCATGTGTTAAATTTAATTCTTATTATCATACTTTTCGTGTGCACTGATAGTTCTATTAGAATGTTGTACGATTTATAAGAGAAATTATTTATATAGCCAAAGAAATAATTTAATTAAATTTAAATAATTTGTTTTTAATCGACAAGAGAAGAATTTCAGTATTGCAAAATTACCAATTTTTGCATGCTCTTCTACGACTCGTTGATAGTGACTTAGTATTAAATTTGTCTTTCTAAAAAATTATGTAATGTTAAATATTTAAATATTCTTTCTATAATATATAATTTCACATAAACGCTTTATAAGAAATAAATAAAAAATTGATCTATCTTGTAGGCGACCTCCCAGCGCTACCACGTACAATCCGAACAGCTTCAGTTCCAGCGCTCAGAGGACCGGTCAGCCAACGACAACGCCACGTGGAGTCACCTACGTCAGCGGATCCGCGAGACCGTTCACGTCGACGACCAGGTTACCCAACAGCAGCAGTACGACATCGCCAAAATCGGGCAAAAAGAACGATTACGATTACGCGTATTATGATAATACGGGCGGTCTTGAGTACGACGGAGTCGATCTCGAGCATGTTACCAGCAACAAAGAGTCTACGAAAATCGCGAGAAATTAATAAATACATTTTTTGCAATCGAAATCGTGTTAAATTATCGTTCATTGAAGCGGCCAGTCATTATCACGTATCAAAATCGGTCTTCGATTACGAATATCCGTGCGTAGGAAATAACTATTATTGAATACCGATTTTGACAGAGAGAAAGAATCATTGGTCGATATTGATCGGCTTTAGTATACATATATGTATATCTTTGTATGAAATTGTTGAACTGCTTTTTCGGCGATATACAATTTTGTTGCCGGTATTTCAGTAGTTTAATTGTTTATACGTTTATGTAATTATTAGGTTGCTCAATGCCATCGCAGCATTGAGCGTCGCATCGATATTACGAGATACGGGATAATCGAGAGATTCTGAACAGTGTTAGCGCGAAACTTGTGTTATTTTTTAAAAAGAGAATTCATACGAAAACATACACATATTATATGTTGATACAGTAGTGCGAAGTTCAACTGTCGAATTATTTTTCCCAATACCTTTTTTTTGTAAACATGACATCGACAAAAGCACGCACGAACCGTGTTCAAAGTTAACAATAAGATTGTTTTACTATTTACAATCCGAAAATGTGTGTATACTAAATTTTGTACATATTAACACACTATTTTATACGAGAAAAGCCTAAAATGGCGTGTTCTATATTTTATTCTTTTTTTTTAATAATAATCCTTTATAATGTATAGATTGTTCTTATTTTTTTATACACATAGAAAAATTATTTGTCCGTAGAATTAATTTACTGATCTGCATTACTGAAAGATATTACGTAGCAAATAAGAAATGTAATAAATTCATATTTTAACAATAGACTGAGAGATTCGCTATAATTTGCACTTGCATTAAAATACTTCTAAAATATTTGACGACAGTGTTTCTATGAAAATACATTAACGATCTTTTATTATATGTATTCATAATAATTATAAAATTTAATCGACAGAAAATTATATCAATAAATATGAAAATTAAACCAATATTAAATAAATAAAAAATATACAAGATTACAAAAACTTATATATACCTACAAAGTATAGTAATATTATGCATATATTTTTGTACAAAACTACATAAAATGTTTCGCACAAAATGAAAATAGAGAAAGATTTTAGTTTTGTATGACACATATGTGACATAAAATAATAGAAAAAAAATTATAAGCAAACCTACTAAGAAGTATATAACGTACACTCAGAAATTATTGTTAATAATTCGTGCTAGATATTGAATATGTCACTGCTATAGCACGATCTTAACGTTTTTGTTATTGACTTGCAAAATATACTTATACAAGTATCAAATCGAATTATGGCTATGTAGAGCCTATGCAGGATGTTGTGCAGATAATTAATAAATCTTTATATGTTTCGAAACGTTTCGACTTTTATTTCAAGTCCTTATCAATCGAGTCTTATTAAAAAATATCATTAAAATAGTATATTTATAATATACTATATTTATAATATTTATAATATTTTAGTTGTTACATAATGGTTTTAATAATTTAAAATGTACACAAGTGTACTTGGTAATATTTTTTCTTATCACTTGTTTTATAACGTAAGTTTTGTAGAAAAACGCTCTTGTATAGTAAAACTTATAATACTTTGTAAAAATTGTTCATCTGTAAAATTATTTTCGTTACTTTTGAGGTAATTACATATGTAAAGTTAATATGTTTACTACATTGAGTAGCTTTTTCAGCAGTTTCCTTATTTAGTAAAAGTGTAATAATCTCATTGCTTTCGTCAATAATAACCGGAAACTCGATTAGATCGAGATCCATTTTTGCACGAGCAAAATTTCGGCATCGATAAAGTAAACAAATTTCATTTGAAAAATTCGATCCCGCCAATGCATCACTTCCTGCATCAAACGCTTCACGTCTGAGCTGCGTTCCGTTTCACGTATATGCGCGCATTTATCTATTCTTCTTCTTCTTCTTTGCTAATATGGCGCCGACCCCCGAGGGGTTTAGGTAATGGCCAGTCTTTGATAAGGTGTGTTCAAACACCGTAAACAAAATACGTGAAAGTAGGCTATGTCTTTGTTGTAAACAAGATTTTATGACTCACATGTACTACACGATCACGAATATTTATTTGTTAAGTGTCCCTCGGCATAATGAACTTACAACGCAAGTCCACATGCCATTCTACGTACTCGTACTTCTAGGTCTAAAACCGTGGTTTGGGTACTCAACACCAAGTCACGGAGTTACATGTTCGTTAAAATAACAAACAAACTAAAAAATCGGTGTAAAAAACACCGAAAAAAGTCCAAAAATATCCAAGCGTAACTACGCACATCCAGCCAGTATGTGGCTAATGTTGCGAAAACTTTCGCATTTATCTATACTATAAGTGACGTGTACCAGAGAGAAGCCTGAGAGCGGCCACGGCCATAAGAGTTTCTGTCATAGCTTTTCGTGGACATGGTTTTATTCCGTGCTAAGTTTGTGGACATGGTTCTATTCCGTGCTAAAATGAAAACACCGACGTGGTGGGGATACGCACACAAGCGAGACCGTTGTCCGTGTGCGCTCGTGGAGTTGTGCAGACATATTATGTTGATGTATGACGACGGTTCTCGCTTGTGTGCGTATCCCCACCACGTTGGTGTTTTCATAGCACGGAATAGAACCATGTCCACAAACTTAGCACGGAATAGATCCATGTCCACAAAAAGCTATGACAGAAACTCTTAAGAGCCGTCTACAATGGAGAGTTGTAGGCCGTAACAGTAAGAAACTGACAAATCACAATCGATTATTCTTCTGTACTTTGCCTGTGATTGGTCAATTTCTTACTATTACGGCCTACAACTCTCCATTGTAGACGGCTCTTAAGTCGTAAGAAATTGACTAATCACAGACCAATTACAGAAGAATAATCGATTATGATTGGTCAGTTTCTTACGACTTAAGAGCCGTCTACAATGGAGAGTTGTAGGCCGTAATAGTAAGAAATTGACCAATCACAGGCAAAGTACAGAAGAATAATCGATTGTGATTTGTCAGTTTCTTACTGTTACAGTCTAAAACTCTCCATTGTAGACGACCCTTTAACACCCTCGGTTTCTTACGACTTACGACTGTATTGTAGAACAGGCTTAAAGGGTGGCAGGAAGCTGGGAGGTTAGGGTTAGCAAAGGGAAGGAAGGTGGTGAGTAAAAGGTGCAGAGAGTGCAGAAGGGGCAGAGGGTGTAGAGGCCTAGGGAATTCCTGGGGACAACATTAAGGCGGAGAAAGCTTAAGCCTTAGGGTGGGTAGCGAAAAGAAAGAATGGCAGAGGGAAGGTAGATTTAAGATGGTAGATGTAAGAGTAGATGTAAGTTTTTTTTTGCGTAAGAGAGTTAGCTGTAAGAGTAGATGTAAGTTTTTTGTGTAAGGTATTGTAACCCTAAGGGGAATCAATAAACATTATCTATCTATCTATCTATCTATGTACTGAATGTAAGCATATACAAAATAATATGAGCGCATAAAATTTCATTTAGTTTTATTGAAAATGTCGCGGAATAAACTTGCGTGAGGAAAAAGGATTCATTCCGAGTGCCAACAGAGCAAGAAAAAAGATAAACAGAGAGGAAGATTTGATGGAGGAAAGAGAAGGAAAGAAAATTAAGGTTTTAATTACTTCTCCGTGCATCGCGGATCGGCAGGTCGACGGTCGACTACCCGGGCCGAAGAAAGCGCCATCACTTAGCGAACCCACAGTTATGTACGAGAGTACAGTCGTTAGCAGCGCGAATATAGAAACTCTTTTATCGTCGCCGTCATCGTCCTCATCCCTGTCGTCTTCTCCGGCGATGGAGTGTGCGTAATCCTCCTGGCGATAATGCTACGTAATGTCGACCTTTTTTCACGACCGGTTTCCAGCTGCGGAAAGCGTCGTCTCGTCAGTGCCCGCCAGGCACGGTTTCGCGGATTATCGGCCGCGCCACCGCACCACCGCATATGATTCATAGAATTCCAGCTCGCGAGACCGAGCTCGAAGCCGTTTTCAGGTACGTGAGAATAAAAAAAAACATTCTTTCATCACTCAATTTTCTCTTTAGAAATGAAATCTGAATCAAATATCATGCGATTTTTTTCGGTCAGACTAGAATTGGAGGGATAAAGTTTTGTGTGATTTTTTTGTAAAAAATTTACACTTCAAACTGCTAAAACATAAAATATTAAGTTTTGTGATAAATTACAATCGCGTGAAATTAAACTTTGTGTATATTTTTTTGACTTTTTTGAAATACTACTTTTCTTATTTAAAGTACTAAATATATTTGTAATTTCAGAAGCCAAATTATCTACATCTGGAGATGTTGGAGGTTGGTTTGCGAGTCGTCCGTGGTCAGGACTGGAAATGGGACGAACAGGATGGTGGTGAAGGTCATGCCGGAACAGTAGTAGAGATTGGAAAGCCACCATCTACAGGAAATTCTGTTTCCAGTCCAAATCCTACTGATCGAACACCGGATAAGACAGTTATTGTTCAGTGGGACCATGGTGCCAGAAGCAATTACAGAATTGGCTATCAAAGTGCTTATGATCTGTTGGTGTTTGACAATGCAGCCGCTGGTGTCAAGCACACCAACATTATTTGCGATGGCTGCAAGAGACATGGAATAATTGGCATCAGATGGAAGTGCACTCAGTGTTTCGACTATGATCTCTGTACTCAGTGCTACATGGCTGACGAGCATTATTTGACTCACACATTTCAGAGATTTCAAACAGCCAATTCTGCAGGGTTGGTAATCAAGATTTTGAAATACAATTTGTGTTATTGATTCTCAACATAAAATCGTAACTGTTTTTGATTAAACATAGAGTTCAACTGGGACCAAGAGAAGGCTGCGCCAAAATACCACTGAAAGGAATTTTCATAGGAGCGAAAGTCATCCGTGGACCGGACTGGGAATGGGGGAATCAAGACGGCGGACGTGGTAATTACACTCTATTTGAATTAACTTCAAAGATACAAATAGAGAATAATTTGTTAAACCAATGTATTTTTTTTATATTTTAGGTAAAACTGGCAGAGTTATGGATATACGCGGATGGGATAACGAAAGCAGTCGCTCTGTCGCGACCGTCACGTGGTCTACTGGTAGTACCAATGTTTATCGCTTAGGCTATAAAGGTTGTGTGGACTTGTGCTACGTAGAAGAGGCCAACGCTGGTACTTATTATAAGGAGCACCTTCCGCTGCTCGGCCAACCGGTACCAATCATATCGGACAACGGAAATACCTCATTACCAGTTAGAAGCGGTGTCTCCGGTACGCCGTCTAATTCGCCTCATCTGACCTTCAATGTCGGCGACAAGGTAAAAGTTCTAATCGAAGTCGACACCTTGAAAGAAATGCAGGATGGCCACGGCGGGTGGAACCCACGCATGGCCGATTACATAGGAAAGGTATGTTGCAAAAGTCAAAAAAAGTAAAAAAAACTCGTAATACACACACACGTGTAATATAAATTAATTGCTCTCTTTAATCTAGATTGGCACGGTGCACCGGATTACAGACAAGGGAGATATTCGTGTACAATACGAAGGCTGCAACAACAGATGGACCTTTCATCCGGGCGCTCTAACAAAAGTCACCGCCAAAGAAGCATTTTCTCTCGGTGATATCGTGCGCGTAAAAAGCGACTTGGCTGCCGTGAAGCAATATCAGCGCGGTCACGGTGAATGGATAGACGTCATGAAAAATGTAAGTCCGATTGCCTTTTTCACATTCTTATACACTTTTAAACTTGTATTGCAACTATGTAAAAATATAGTAAACACACACAGATACGAGATATTGATTATATGCTTATTGTATAGGCTCTGGGAAAAACCGGGAAAGTAATTAAAATCTATTCCGATGGCGATTTGCGTGTGGCGCTGGACGGCCACACGTGGACGTTTAATCCACTTAGCGTCGTTCCCGTATCTTCAAACGTGGTTGCCGCGCATGATAATGCGAATAAAATTAGAGATCGTCCAGGTATATTTATCTTCTCGCGTTTTATCGTTAGATGATATTATTTACATCGCGTGACGAATTCGTCATCTATTTAACTTATTCGCGTGATACAGACGATACCGACAGCGAAGTAGAGAAAATATTAAGAGATGCAGCCAGAGGCGAAGCCGGTGTGGCTGCTGTTCGCGAGTTCCTCCAGAAGTATCCCGGCAGAGTAGACGCGCGTGCACCTGGTGGTGGCAGAAAAACGTGTTTGCAAGTTGCTGCGCATCAGGGTCAACGCGAGCTTTGTACTCTTCTTCTCGACGCCGGCGCGTCTCTGCGAGCGATCGACGAGGATGGCGATACGCCTTTGCATTACGCGGCATTTGGGTATGTCACTAATGTTCCTCTTAAATTTTCGCAATATATTAATGTTCTTTCCTCTAATTGAACAGAAATCAGCCAGAAATAATGGAACTGCTGTTGTCACGAGGCGCAGCTATCAACGCCGTCAACAACGGCAAATGTAGCGCGTTACACGTAGCGGTCAACAAGCAACACGCGCAGTGCGTAAAAGTGTTGCTACGTTACCACTGCGACGTCAATCTGCAAGACTCGTACGGCGACACGGCTCTGCACGACGCGATCGGAAAAGACGCGCTGGATGTGATAGACGCGTTGTGCGCCTGCGAGAGAGTTGACTTCACGTTACGGAACAAACGGGGTTTTAACGTCCTGCATCACGCCGCACTCAAAGGCAATGCTCAGTATGTATACGAGACAAATTCAGTAATCATGTAACGATTCAATGTAGTCAAAAGCTCGAGTGATATCTAAGAGCTTGATATTAACTTGAGATGTTTTTTTGATATTTATCTAATTCTCGTCTAACTCGAACGAAAATTCATAGCGCAATGGACAGGCTGGTGACACGCGCGCGTCACTTGGTGGATGTGAAAAAGGAGGACGGATTTGCAGCGTTGCATTTGGCAGCGTTGAACGGACACCGGGAAGTCGCGGCCACACTTCTCTCGCAGCGCGGTCGCGCCAAGGTCGATCTGCGTAACAATCGACGGCAAACGCCGTTACATCTGGCAACCTCACAAGGACACTGGTCGCTTGTTGAGCTGCTGGTGCATCATAATGCGGACATAGGAAGCGCGGACGAGGATGGTGACACCGTGCTGCACATCGCAATAGCCAAGAGCCCGAATCAGCAGACTGTTGCGCCCACACCTGAAAGCAGCCGGGATTCGCCGCTCATATACGCGGTAGGATATCTAAGATCTTGAGACTAACGACGATGAGACGATAAGCGGTTAACCGTTCTTTTTCTGTCGATCAGATCTGGCAAAACCTGGCGAGGCAAGGTGCAAAGACTGAATTAGCATTAGCGTGTTTTCTGATAAGCGTGGACAAAAGTTGCAAACTACTTGAGCAAGTCAAGAATAACAAGGACAAGACTCCGCTCGATCTGCTAGAGGATTCAGTCGATCCTCTACAGGTCACGTTGCTTGCCGATCTTCTACGGTCTTACAAATACCAAAGTCACAACACTCAATTAGAGTAAGAGATCCCGAAGAATATTATTATTTTTTGTAGATAAAAGTGTCACAAGTTAATTTCTAAAATGATTCTTTTTGTTCGCGTTTAATTTCAAAAATAAAGAAAATTAACTAACTTAATTAAGAATATGTAAAGAAATGATCTTAAATCATTTTACAGAATAGAAAATTCATCAACCGGTTACGTAGAACCATCTACGTATGGAATAGATAACGTGTCGGAAGGGTTGCGAAACGCGATGAAACCCGGTTCTGGTGAAGTTGCTGAATGTCGGGATTGTTCGGAAATCATAACGAATACAAAGCAGGACATTCGAATTGATCCGAGCAATAGCATTACACTCATGGGTTGTGCGCGTTGCGGTCACACCGTTGTTAAAACTCAAACTATTCAAGGTATTTTTGTACAGTTATAAGATTTTCGAAAGAAAATTGTATCTCACTTACGAATATCTTATTTGTGCATGTTTGTCTAGATGGTCAACTAGCGACTGGTGAGGTTTCAGCAAATGCGGATGACAAATCGAAGGACGTAACGTCGGAAGGAAAACGAAAGGAGGAGATCAACGATCGAGAGAAGGAGAAGGACAAAGAGCGATTACGTTATTTGGAAACTAGAGTCGCTGATCTCGAGGAGGCGAATATGTGCAGTATTTGCATGGAACGTCGTCGCAACGTCGCGTTTCTTTGCGGACATGGCGCTTGTGAACACTGCGCCGCCCCGCTTAAAACTTGTCACATGTGCCGTAAAACAATCACAAAGAAGATCAATTTGTATTAGAAGATTGTCGCTAAGATGCTTGTATCACAAAATATTCATTTGATTCTTCGAGAAATGCGATACGTACGTGTATATAAAAGATTTTTCTTAAGAGAAAGGATCAATACTTCCGCTAGTGATAATAATCACGAGTGAAATATTTTTTACGGTAAGCCTTGGTAGCGGTTCTGAACAGTTTGAATGGTATATAGCGACAAACACGATTACGAGAGAAAAAAAAGTGTTACATTTTTGATTATTTACTCGAATATTTAGCTATTATTATTCTTGCAAAGTACTGCACATTCCTTTCGAGACTCTGTATACAAACGGTGAAAAATAACTGCCGACTACGGTGTTAGCATGGATGTTTGACGGTTTGTACGATGCGTGCGTTAAAAATCGATGTGTGCTAGGAAAAAAATTGAATTTACTGCCAAAACACCTTTCGGCGATAATTCGTCCGAAAGAGTAAGAAAAACCGCAGCATTATATTGCACCAACATCGTGCCATAACAAGTTATAAAAAATTTCACGCGCGCATTTCAGAAGAATCGCCCGGATACGAGATAGTCCGAATCTTACGTTATGTTTTTTGTTGATTTTTGTAGAGAATATTAGTTTTTATATATATATATATATATAAAAGTCTTGTGTCCTGGCGAATATGTGCGCAGAATGTACAGCTTACATATATATCTTTCTTACCAAATTGGCGTATCGCCTATGCTTTATCCCGTCCATTTTTTACCCACATTTAAAGAAAATGCGAATAAACGAGAAAACAAGCTTCTCGTTTTAGCGTGCGAGATGTCTTTTGTGCTGTAAACATTAAGAAACGTTCAAAGATGTTTCATATGTATTGTAGTTGCAATAAAACCTGATACGCATTGTTCTTCGACGATCATTTTGTTTTATAAAGAAAAGGATAAAAATATCCTGTTTTACAGCCAAATTTTTTAGATAGAAAGAATTGTACGCGTATAAAAAAATTACGTTCGTAAGACCGAGTGCCGACAGCATGGAACCAATTAATTTTAAGCGCGCTTATTGTTATAGGAAACATGTTAAAAACAATACTTTGCGTATTTAATAACATAACAAGCCAACATAAGCCGAGGTACAAGCTTATTTGAATATTGATCTTCGAGAAATTCTAAAGTTTATTAAAGGAACACAAATATCATTTTTCAGTATTAAACATCTTGCCTTTTTCTACTGAATACAACGAAAAACTTGTACTCGAGGCGCGTAGAGAATTCTATTTATTAATACAAGTAAAAAAATGTATCCCGCGCGATATATCGGAATACACTATAAGTAATTAATCGAGTTTTATTTATGTATATATGTATGTGTATATATATATTTAAGTCAGCGTAATTTTTCTTTCGAATGATTGCGAGAAATGATTTTTATAAATCATGCTAGAAAGCAAGAAACATCGTAAATTTTACGTTCGCGACGACGAAAAACGTTTAATTTGCGATAGTGCCAATTTTGAATTTGTCAAAAATGATATTAAAACTTTTTTTCTAGAAAGAACTCTGTACATTACAATCTCAACAAATAGAAAAAAAGAAGGTTATTTAGAGCAAACGAAGATTTCTTTTTTTCTCTCTGTTTTCAATATTAGCTGTATTGTCGTTTATAGATATATGATACGACGTATATTACAAAAGATATTACGGATGAACTATATAATGTATGTAACTTAAGCGCGTCGGTAGATTTCTATACAATTGTAAAAAAATTTTAAGATATATAATTTAAATAAACAATTTTACGACAGAGAAAGTTTTTTTATCGAACTGTATATTTCGTTTTTTTTTTATATTTCCTAATATATCGACTAATAAAAACAAAAACAAAGGACATATATGGACCACGTGTGTTTTCTTAATAAAAATAGAGGAAACAGATTGATATAGTCGATATATGTACAATATTATAGAGAAAATACTACGTTCGTGACACAAATCATCACACAATATACATGACACTTTAAAACGAATTAAATGAGAAGTGAAAATAAACTTGTCGTTACCTTAGCAAGCAATCTTATTTATTTTGGTACTCGATAAAGGTTCTGATAGTCGTATATTACAATATTGAGCCAGTTTTGCAAAAATTGTAATAGCAGTACTATAATAATGTATAATAATGGTAATAATATTTTTTTCTCCTCTCCTAAAAGTAATCTAAACATAATATATATTTCTATTAGTAGCGTATATGGGACATTGCATTATTTATTTATTTATTATTTTTTTTTTTTTTTTTTTTTTTTTTTTTTTTTTTTTTTTTTTTGTATTTGTAATATTCTAATCAACTTAAACAAATCGTGGCGTCATTAGCATGCCATGCAATATAATTTTTTTTTATAACTATAGAATTGTTTTGGATATATTTTCTCGTGTTTTTTCTTCGTATTTTTCTTTTTTTCTTTTCCAAAAATAATATATAGTATAATTCTAAACAAAGAGCATTCTCCGATATGACTTTACCAGCAAGATTAAGAAGTACAGCATATATATCTCAAAATGTGTACATACACCGTAAAAACTGATATGAATATAGTATTCCCGATTCGATTCAAGTAGTCAAACTCTCTACTCTAAATATCATATATAATTCCTTTGTTTCTCAATCATATGCTACAAATACATATAAATTACACATAACGCAAAATAGAAGTCTCACTTTTCTTGCTTCAAGCAAAATAGAGCCAACATTAATCATTGAGATATATTGCCTTCAAGGCCTCGAAAAAATTGCACAAAAATTTTGAAATCTATAATCGTATATGATAATATTAATGTATCAAAAACCATTTATCAACAAATGCGACGAGGAAGACCTTGAATAAGACCGGCACGTCTATTAGCGCTTTATATTTTTCCTTTATTATGCTAGGCAAAAAGAAAATAACTGACTGGATAAAAAACACATAATATAATAATATTATGTGTTTTATAATTTATTATAGACAATAAAATTAAAATCAAGATCTTTTTCACCTAACATTGCTCTTGTGTACGTATTGTGAAACAAATGTGAAGAAGACATTGGAAAGTGCACTTGCTACTTACAAAAGGTCGCTCATTTTTAGATCAACCAGTCCTTAAGAGATGTGAAATTTTTGCAACAAAGTTTATTCGCGTGAATAATTATTAGTTTTTTTTGTTTTCTATTACCACACAGGATAATAGTCCTCTTCATCGTGAGTCTGGCGATGCGCGAACTTTGGCATTGCTTTTTGAAACAGTCTTGCATACATCAATTCGCGAGCATTGTGCACACAATGCGCGAAAGTACGGTTCCGTTCGCATCTACATATAAGATTTCGATTAAAGTGCCCGATAGCGAGAGAATAATAATTGTGGAGCGTAATATGTAACTGCGCAGTTCAAACAACGAATACTATAACTCTTTAGTTTTTTTTCTTCTTTTTGAACGCGTGGCATGTTTATCGGCGAGTTGTAATCCTAGCAGGAAATTCTTAATAGGATTTCTTAATGTAGGAGTCTTAATAGGAGTATTTGTTCTCTTTTTCTTCAAAAAACGACTTTCATCGACTTTTTTTTCACGCGACGTCGATGTGTGGATACATAAATCACACTGATTCAATCGTCGAGCATAATTATTGTCAACTACGATCGAGACTCGAATCCGGTCAAACACTGCGACTTTATCGTCTTTTTCTCACTAAGTTCGTGGAAATAATTTAGATAAAGGCTGCCCACAAAAAACTCTCGAGTCTCGAGTTGAAGACGTTGCAGTGTTTGACTCTGATCGAAACGAGCTGTACGAAACAAATTGGTAGCTACGTGATAGGACACGTGTTTCGACCCTGCATGCCTTCTGGAATAAATCAGTGCGATGAAAACGAAAAACAAGAGAGACAATTATTCTATGTGTACGATATAGAGGATACTACTGTGCCGTGAATTGACTGAATACGGAGTGACGTATGCTTAAGCCACGACCGGTTCGGGGCTACACGGTTGTAACTCCGGCTCATTCTGCGTGCTGTTTTCCGTGCTGTTGGCGGCGGCAGTGGTGGTGCTCGAGGTCGCCGTTGACGTGTTCGACTCGTGGTTCGGATCGGCAGGAGTCATCGCCGCCCATTGAGTAGTGTACGGGGCCGCTCGAGCCTGTCGTCTGGCTTTTCTCTTGGCGCGTCGTTGCTCCATGACTAAGCGGAGCCGACGCATTTTTCCCTTGGTCGCTTCGTTTTCCTTCGACAACTCCTCTGTACACGAATATTAATACAACATATTTTGATATGTATAACAATATATTCATTAATACATAATTAAATACATAATTCATAGACATTTACAGTTATCAAAAAGAAAATCTTAAAATAAACGTTCTAGCATAAAAACATTTGTTTTATATTTATGACATACCGTTGGTGTATCCCGGTGTTGACTCCTGACAGCCAGCCGATGTCGCGGATCCACTCGCGACGGCTGTTGCGCCTGCAGAAGACGGGGACATCGAGGATGTCTGCTGACGAGCATGCGAATGCCTATGATGATGATGCCTGTAATGACCTGCGGATGCAGCTGGCGTTGCGCAGAGCAAATCATTCAGGATATGAATAATGGTGCTGATGTCCCTCTTTGGTCTACCGTGTCTGTCTTGGAGGGCTGGATTTAAAGTGCCGCTGAACGTGCCGGAATATACACCCTTACCGTGATGATGCATACTCTCTATTATCGCACCTTGTCTACGTCTCGCGTTTTCCTAAATTTAAAGAGACATGTTCCAAGTTACATTTATAAAAAATATGTTCTTTATTTTCTCCTCTCTCTCTCTCTCTCTCTCTCTCTCTCTCTCTCTCTCTCTCTCTCTCTCTTTCTGCATATATTTTAGTATTATTCAAGAAATTCTGAATACAATTAATAAATTCAAATTTAAATTTAAGTATTGCTATATAAACTCTTTCTTCGAAGAATACAACATGAAGTAGTAAACTTTGTATGTATTTCATTGAATGATGACACGTTGAAAGTATAATGTGATGATTTTAAGGGCCTGAGAGTATGTACAAGCAACAACATTTATTCTCTCAAATTCTTATTATTCGCAAAAAAATAAATTCAGTACCAACAGAAGATTGTCTTTTTAAAATAAATACTCTAATTCATTCGATTTGAATCGTCAAATATACCTCTTAGGACCTTAATACGTACGAATATAAGTAACGAATGATACACAGGGAGAACTGGCTTCGGTAACAAATGTATACCTCTGCGAGGTCGACCCGCGAGGTGAGTACCTCAGAGGAGAGTTGCTTCAGTTTTTGCGTAAGATTCCGAGAAGCCTCGGCGAGCGCCCGCGTGTCGAGAGTGGCAGGCTTAGTGGGAGACTGCTGCTCCATCATCAGAGACGAGGTAGGACTCTGCGGACTTGACTCATCGTATTGACTTCTCATGGCATCCACGCTACCAGAGGTAACCGACGACGATTGCTGACCGCCGTGATGATGATGACCGGTGCAGAGCTTCTTTCTGGGTAGCGTTGTGTCGTAGGACTCGGCGGTAGATTGATCCTGAGTAGAAGTAGAACCCGAAGTTACGGGGGACAAAGAAGAGGAAGAAGAGGAAGGGGAAAGATTGAGCAAGCTGGGCTTGTTCCTCGAATGATGATGGTGATGGTGATGGTGATGATGATGGTGGTGGCCATGATGATGGCCATGATGATGACCGTGATGATGATGATGGTGGTAAAGTGGGCAGGGTTGACACGCGCCGGAGGAACTGTTGCCAGATTGAGCGCCGTGCGAATTGGTGCGTGTAGACTGCGAGGATTGGTTTGCGTTGCCAGTTGACGACGGCGACGACGGCGACGACGGCGACGACGGCGACGACGGCGACGATGACGACGACAATGACGACGAATGCGCTGGACTAAGTGGCGTAGGCGACGTGATCCGACTGGAACACACTGGACTGCTGGTGGTAGTGATGATGCTGGCAGTGGGCAGACTGCTACTGCTGCTGCTGCAGCTGGCGGCAGCGTGCAAAACGTTGGCGAGGCTGTTAATCAAGTGCGAAGTTTTTCCAACGGACGTGTTTGCCGCGCTCTGCGGTTTGACGGTGTTGCCGGGCGATCTAGTTGCCAAACACCTTCTTGTTTGTAACGAGGAAGAGACATGGTTGCCAGATACGTTGGATACATTAGCGTTGCTACCGATCGGTACACCGGTGCCGTTGCTGCTGCCGTGATTGTGACCGCTGTTGCCGGTAGAACTCGCCGCCTGATTGGCCGCCGGAGTAGTTGGAGTCACAGTGGACAATTGCAGCTGGATTAACATCATGTGATCGCCCAGTCGCATTGTGAGATTGAGCGGCGCCTTGCCGGACAAGAAGTCGTTCACCTGTGAGTCATTGAGACTTTCCAAGGCCTGCATCACGCTCTGCTCCGGTCGTTGCGCCTGAAACAATGGGCGAAAAGAAGGCGGTTGATTATTGGTGATCGTTATTTCAACCGTGATAACGGACGTCGCGGTTTGATTGTACGTTCGACACATCGCCGTCGGGAGATTTCCGATCACTTTGACAAGCTGTTCGTTGTTCATTCGAGGTAACGAGGCGCATGATACGAGTAACGAAAGCTGTAATTATATATAGCCGCAATAAAATGAATCGTAATAAAAAGTAATCGTGTGTAATGTGTTGATCTTTTGATATTGATATATCAAATTAATATATTGATTAACATTAAATGCAATTTCTATTCTACTGCCATTTTTAATACGATAAACAGATAAAGCAAAATGTATGTGTAAAATAATCTTAATTCACATTCTTAATTGCTCTTCTCTTACTTCCTGTATTCCTTCGAGTGTCATATTGTGACGTTTTTTTCTTTTCAAATGATAGGTATGTGCAAGATGAAACGCGAATCGATGAGACCGCGACGCGAGATAGAAGCGCGAGAAGACCTGCAGAAGAGAGGAAACCTCGCGGAACCCTCGACAGGCGCACAGTTAGGCATCCCTCACGCACACCTAACGGACTTCCTTTCGCCGGACGCGGCGGTCACCGTCGGATTCGGTAATTCGATTCGCGAGCTCTTTCTAAGGAAAGCCTCGACTTCGCGGGAAGCGCATTATTCTTGTAACAAAGAGACATCCGGGGAATTGCATGATGAATAAAACTTTTATATAGGACGTTGAAGTAATCGAGTTCGTGCAAATATCATGCGCCTTTACTATTTTACATTCATCCGAAATCTTCGATCTGTTATCTTCGAATAATTCAATAAGAAAACAATTTGATTGACAAATAATGTCAAAATAATTGTCAGAAATTTTTCAGCGAGCGCTTCCGGTCAATTAGGTTCTTCCTGTTGTCACCCATAAGTCGTTGCTTTTTCTACGTTTTTATCGCCATTGAGTCGTTTACATGCATATTTGAAATAGAAAATGCACATTTAAGATGAAAATGCCTGCAAAACACGACCTTCGCACTTGTTTGTGCGTATCGTACAATTAATTATTAAGTTGAAGAAGATACCGAATAAACGAGTCGTATCAAATGTCGATAATTAACACAGACGGATGTTTTTACAACGCGACGAGTTTGATTTTGTGATTTTCTTCCGAGATTATTATCGGGTTTTGTTTTTCTACGTCAATATTCATAGCTATCGCGATCGATGCGACGAAGAGAATCGCGGCACGGAAGAGAATCGCGGACGTTTAAATTTACGCTATTCGCACGCTCGGCGACATTATAAATTATGAATCGCCGACGCTAAGTATAAGAAACCGACTGTTGCCACTCGCTCTGTGCCGATGCGGTTTCCGACGATGTTGCAACACGCTGCATCGAAAACATGCAGTGCCACGCGCTATCCAACCCTATGCGCTTGCTCCACGTGTCGCGTCAAAGTGCAGCGGAATTCTATTCGCAGCTATAGAACAAGACACGGTCGAGCTGTTTTTGTTTGACCAAGTGCAACACGACGTATCGTAACGTGATTATTCTCTTTTTCTCTCTCTTTCTCTCTTTGTTATTTATTTAAAAGTGTCCTCAAATCTTTCGCAACTATAGGTTCGTTCCGCATCACAACTCTTTACACGACATAGAAACGTTTTCCAAGTAACATAAATTATACTAAACGCGCGGACACAAAATTAAAAATAAATAAAAAAACAACCAAAGTAAATTAAAATATGTTTAGTTTCAATTAGCTTGTTACATGTTTTTATTTTGGAGTTTGTATTCGTAACGCGAATTTTTTATGGTTGTTCTCATATACATTGTCTTTCTTTTTGTATAATTACACTGAATAAAATTGAAAAAACATTTTATTAGATCGCAATCAATTAATCAATCAATCTACTGTTCTACTGTTGCTGAGCCTCAAATTCCGTTCTTCGTTCACGCCGCCAAATCAAACACTCCTTCGTTGCTGAACACAGCAAAGTCCGATCTCATCGCTCGGTGAAACGCTCTTGCAAAACGATTAACCAATCGGGCCCACTCCCCAATCGTCTCTCTCTCTCGCAGAGAACTTCCTCGATGCGCAACGGATCGATCGGATGAGACCACTCGTGAGTCGCGATGAACCGTTTAAGAATCGCGAAGCGTTTTAATTCGCTCCATAAGCGTTCGACAATAAAAGTTAATCCAAAACTTCACTTTCTTGACTTTCGGTTTATTCTCTTAATTAAATACAGTTATACGTTTGTTACACGACTGCTGTTCGCATTCAAATGTTTGTAGCTACACCCGGGAGATCGCTCGGGGAAATGTGTCTACGTGTATATTCAGAACTCATCGAAAGCTGATCCACCTAGAAAACAAGTGAAAGCGACAATAAAAGCGACACGGGCCAAAGCAAATTGAATACCACGTAGCCGATCACGTAATTGACGATGAACTTCTTCACTTTCCGCTACTTTAATTGAACTACTGGATAAAGCGATATATATATATATATATATATATATATATGTATGTAAAACCCGGTAAAAGTATATTTTTAAATGGAACAGCGTGATATAATTGTCGTATTGTGATATTACTTTTCGACGAGGATAACAGATTATTCATAAGTTGTAAGAAAAAAAGTACAAAAACTAAAATAGCAACTGCAAGCCGGTCTCTTAGCGCTTTTTTTCCTAGAAAAGATAAATTTCTCTCGCCTCTTTATTTTCCAGATAAAAATTGCTCCCGCCTACATGTCCCTTTTAATTCAATTGTCTTGCTTTACTGAAAATTCCAAAGACGAGAGGAAAATTTCGATTGATCAAACACTCAAGATTCAAAAGTGAATATACGCGGAGATGGATTTACCGAACTCTCTACTGTAATCGTTCGAGATAGTTAATTACGGCTTACGTATCCGACGGAAGTAGACGCACCGATTTGACTCGTCGTCATCATCTTCGACCGCAAAATCAATTTGTAAAGTGGGTGTGTATCGCACGCCTTGACGCGATAATCTCGTTTGCTATCAAGTCTCACACCAAAACGCCGGAAATCCCAGAAATTGAATAAAGTAGTTGGTCTAATATACGTACACACGATAACGACGACTTGAATATTTTTTAAATTAGAAAAACGAGAGAACGCGGTATTTAGTTTTTTTTTTTTTTTTTTTTTTTTCAAAATAAGATTATTGTCTATAAGCAGAAGTCAGAAATAATCAGAAAATATAGAACTAATTTTTTTTAGCAAGTAGAGTAGCTTCGACTCTTTGTCTCATTGTCGAAAAGATGTTGTACTTTCACTAAAAGAAATAAAGTTTTGTGTGCATTCAGCTTTAAACGTAAAATATTTTTTACATTTAAAGCTATTTTTCGAAATGTCGAAAACTACGTAACAATATAAATGTAATATACGCACGTATATATTTTGAAATTGTGTAACTTATGCATGCAAGGTTACGCGTTTTATCATACACATATAGAGACACAAGAAAAATATTTTTCTACTGTGAGGTAAACATACTTTCACCTGGAAATATATCAGCGTACTATTCCAATGCCAATCGGCAGAAGTAAATTAAGGATTACATTAAATTGGTTTATCTCGCACGCGTTAAAAATAAGAAAAAAAATACCGGGCGAGTATAAACTTTAACACATCGTGAGAGGACTGGTTTAACAGCATCGAAATTAATCGAGCAGGTTCTGGCGAAGATGGATTCTGCCATTTTGCCAACATCTAACGGTGATTCCGCGAGTCAAGTGAGAGCGGCGCCGGACGAAGTCCGAAAAGCCGAGACCCGGCTCTTTTTCTCTTTCTTTCTCATCTCTGTCACTCTCTCTCGGCTGGTCGAGCGAGCGCTCGGACGAGGAAAAAAGAAACACTCAGAGATAAAGCGCTGCTCTTCGATCGCGAGACGCTCGCTCGCTCTTGCAGCCGAGCCGAGCTGTGCGAACCCGGCCCCGTTGGATCTCGCCTCGTCCCCGGTAACCACCCACGAATGATATCTACAGGGTGTGCCAGCGAGCATGCAAACTGCCGGCTACAAATCGGAGAAAGCGATTAAATTTTCGCGTGAAGAAAAGAAACAAGAGATCAAAGCTGGTAGCTACGATTCTTATGAGTTCAGATGCTGACGTTGATGTAACGAAACTTATCTAATGCTTAAATAGCAAAACAAGAACTTCAATAAAATTATTGCAGTATATTTATGTACAACCTGATGTTTCATGTATATCATAAAATTATTGATTTCAATTGATAAACAGATGAAACATCCTAAAATATTCGGTATCTAGAATAATCGATATTGTACGACATAGTAATTATGTGCGTCGACACGTGTGCGTCTCCTTTTCCACGACACCCTGTATGCGTCGTAGCGATCTCGCGAGGGCGCGTAAGAGAGAGCGAGAGAGAAAGGGAGACGCGCGCGCAACGCACACATACACACATATACACTCGGCTCTCGATCGTGCGTATCCACGTACCTACACAGGGACGGGCTTTAAAATTGACTGCCGGTGACCGAGAGCCGAGAGCGGGCGGTCCCCCTTGACAGCCATGCGAACAAGTCTCGGCCGCGCGATAAGGACCCGGGAAACGCACGCGCGCTGTTGCTAGCGGCTCGAGCCCGGGTCGGAGTCAATTTCAGACACCGGGGTAAAGAGGGAAGAACCCCCGAGTTCCCTCTTCTTCCCTCTAATGCCTTCAATCCCTTAACCGACGCCTGGAATTGGGAATTTATTCGTAGCCGAGAGTCCCAACCGGAGCATATAGATGCCTGATTAATCTGGAGAATTAATGTTTTACATTAATTAAACATAAAATATTACTCCCTTCCCCCCGCGCAACAAATAATTTAGTGTAGGTTTACTTTTATTATGAACTGATTTCATAAAATATTATAATTTAATAATTGCACGCGTGCGTTTCAAAAATAAATATAAACGCTTTCCGAAATATAACGTCAATCCGAAATCGAATCGGTGACATCTCTTGATGGGAAATAAGAGTGTTGTATACTACATACATTTCCCTCTTCTTCATTCGTGTACGTGACTGACTGAAAAGATTTTGAGTGTCTCTGCTACAAACGCGTTACATTCGCGCCAATCTTCGTATTCGCTGTTTTATCTCGCTTCATGAATACGTCCCCGCGTAATTCTCAAGCGGAAATATAAAAAGAGAGAGAGAGAGAGAGAAAAGTTTCCGTGAAACTGCACCTTGTGTCCTAAAGACTGTTCCATGCGGACAACACCTGTATGCTTGTGGCCGGTTAGGATTAGATTGTGTTATATTATGTTACTTTAAGGAAGACTGTATCGCCTGCAGTCATATGGTCTGGACGTCATATGTTTCGTGCGCTCGGATTTCTGCAACAGATGCTCGCACATGTGTGATCGACGAATACAAAAATTGTGTCACGTTCTTTCGAAAAATTCGTTACATTTTTTTACATATTTTTTATTTATAGTATCATTGATAACACTATCATTGACAACACTATTATTTAAAAAATAGTGTTATTTTTAAATTTCAAAAGCAGTGGTAATTCTCAAAAAAGCATGAAGATTTACTTGATACCGATAAAGACGAAAAATACAATTTTTTTTCTTGAAACGCAGAAGAGAGACGGTGCAAGCGCCGTCTGTTCGACGACGGTCTCGGCCGGATCCGCGAATCGCGGGCTAAAGGTGTCGGGGACGATATGGTGTGTGACCGAGAAACCAAGTGACCCGGCGATATACGTGAACGCACGGAGTTAACGGCGCTTGCTCGCGCGGATCGTGCGCACCTCCTCGTGTAACATACGTTACGTTCTCTTCGTCCTCGAGAGTCACCGGCAGTCCTCCGTTCCGACGAGCGAGCGAAGAACGGTTCCAGGATGGGACGCCGACGAGTGTCTCGAGCGCGCGAGGAGATCCGGGTTGCAATTGCGGACGCGACGAAAAAGAAACAAACCTATTGCTATTTTCTACCGATCCAGCTGAAACTTCGCGCTTCCAAGAATCGCGATCCGTCTCGACATCAATTTTACTTGTTTATTTCTGTAGAACTATTTTTGTCGAACTATTGGTTTGTTGTGTGGTAGAAAATATTAAATACAAATTTCACGATATAATTTTATACCGTCACTTTTTGTTACTTCAAGTTAGATAAATATAGAATAGAGAAAATAAGTTTTTTTTTAAATGCAAATTGGTAGTTTGTTTTTATCGGAAACGATGTATCAATAAAAAAAACTGTACCGCGATAACCGCTTATTCTCGTGCGCCAGTGCAATGGATTGATTTGATTAAAACTTCGCATGCAAGTGCAGGACACGAGAGTTGAACTTACCAGCAGTCCGGTTTCCACGCTCGGTAGCAGCGTGAGTCGACTGTCGTTCTGTAGGCCGTTTTCCGCGAGCGTACCCTCACGCAGCTGCCTGAAACAGAAAAAAAAATAACTTAGATTATCGTTTTTATCGTCTCAGAATCGTCGCAATTAAAACTTGAGAAGACTTTCAACGGAAACATATTTATCGCATATACTTATCGCAAAATCATCAAGAATTTTTTATGTTATTAATTAATTTCTTCTTTTTTCTACAAGATCTGTTAACAATTAAACTTTAATCGTTTCCGAAGTCAAAGAAGTACATTACGTGCGGTAAATAATTGTAGTTAGTTAGTTCCTAACAACTCCTCTCTCTTTTTCAGATCAATTTCGAAATCTTTGTTTTTTTTTTTTTTAATTAGTCGAGATGGTACATGAGTTGTAAACGATTTGTTCGGAAGAGTTTCTGCTTTTGTGAATCGTCAGAGTTTCTCTTTCTTTTTCAAAAAAACTCAAATCGCGTGAATATTACACAACGATATAAAATTGAACTCGTGCACAGACATCAGAAATCATCCCATTCAAACACGTGTTAAACGAGAGCTGTCACAGTTTGGCAGTTCGAAAAGTGGCGTGAAGAAAGAAAGCGATTCAGGCCGGCACGATGCGAGATGAAGAGGAGGCAAGAATCGCAAGTCGATGAAAAATACTTGTATGCAACAGCCGACAGAATTGGGTCGCGCCTCGCCTCGTCTCATCTCGCCTCGCCTGGAGAGAGAACATCCCGCTCTATATATCGGGTTTCTTCAGCCTTATGAATAAATCGTGATGGATACAAATCGCATTTTCCCGGTCTATACCTCGTGAAATACAGCCGACACGAGAAATGTGTACTTGCTCGTTTACCGGCTTAGAAATTTTATCGAAATAATGCGCGTCAATTTTCATTCGGTTACGTGAATTCCTTCCCGAGATGCTGTTTGATAGAAAATGGCGCGATGATAACGACAAAAGAAAAAAGAAGGAACACTTCTTTCTCTCGCCTCGTGTTTTTTTTCTGACAATCAAAGTTCGCCGCCGACCCGGTTCGCACGCCACGCGCGCTATCGCGAGGCCGTTCTGATGCAACCGCCAGCACGAGCGGAAATCGACCGAAATAAACACGCGTGTGTTTACACGCACGCGATAAAACAACGCCACTTTGGAGGAATGAGCGGAAACCAGAATGCAATCCTTTCACAGAGAGATCAGAGAGAAAAAATTGTCGCGCGTAAAAGCGGAGTGCGTAGAGAAATGTTACATAAAACTAGTGAGATTCTCGCTCTTGACATTATTTTCTTATATCTCTTTAGCTTTCTCCCTTTTTGCGGTGATCTGTCAGGATAAAAATAGTTCACTGCGCGAATAATTTATGTCAAGTAAATAAACAAATCGGCCGTAATATTCAACATTTTATATTTTATAAACGATACTCTTTTCTGTTTATTATTTCTAGACCGGTGTGTATACATATATCGATAGAAAAAAAATTTACGCATTGATAAAGCTAAAAATAGGATAAAAGTTATCGACTGCCGTGTCGTTAACTCTTGCGTTCAAGTCCGCTTACTTCCAAGCGCAAATACTTCACTAACCCCGGTGTCTTGATTTTCTTTATCATTTTACTGCGAACACAATTGCGATAACGCGCGATAGTTTCCGGTATTGGCTGATACTGCCGATATGTATGTGCGTGTGATATAACGCGAGCGATGTGCGTATCGCACGCACAGGAATACACATTGTAAGTCTTTTGGAATATATAAAAATTCATGACGGCCTCGGTTGGCATTGACGGCGGCGAGCGATAAAACAATCTATGTAAAAAAGAGGTGTCGATAAGAAAACGCCAATCCAGAGAGTGAGAGAGAGAAAAGATTAAAATCCGCTAACGCTGCTATTTTCATTGGCGGTTGCGCGCTGTTCATCGGACCTCGATCGAAGGAATGAGACCTTGTCGCACGCGAATGTAACATTTCCGATTCGCGCTCGATCTTAATCGGAGCAAGCGCGCATGCTGCTAGAATTGATTCTCGGGAATCTGTATTTAACTTGAAACTGTGTTCGATACACTGGGTGTTCCACTTCTATTTATCGCGAGATTGCCTCTGAAAAAAAAATTGATTTTGAACGAAAAACCGCATCGTTTCGAAGAAACAATCCCATTTTAAAATGTAATTTTGTTTTCAACAATCCGTTTTGGTGATAAAAAATATAATTGGGTTTACTTTTTCAAGTAAGAAGTGAAATGTAAAGTCGATGCTCCAATGTCAAATTTCGCTCAATATGGTCTTTTGATAGGTCACTTTTATTCTGATTTGACTTTTGTTTTTTAATCGTTTGTGCAATTAGTTTTACATATACATGTAGTTTAAGTTGCTGTCAAATGTGTTTTGGCAGTTGATGATAGTACAATGATTGTACAATGCGTAAACTGCATAAAATTAGTAACATGTTTAGTCCTGCAAAATTTCAGGATTTCGAATACTCAAGTCGAATTATTTGTCTGACTTATATCGGCCTGCTTTATTCTTCGTGCACAGGAAACTGGTCGCGTATTTCGAGACTTTACGTAGATCTAACGCCCGACGAAGACACACAGAAATGCGCTTCGCTGGTCAGATATAACCGAAGTGGAAAGAAACGAGAGAGAAAGAAAGAAAGAAAAAAAGAGAGAGAGAGAGAGAGAGAGAGAGAGAGAGAGAGAGAAAGAAAGATGTTGACAGGTAATGGTCGTGCCAGAGCCGCGTGTCGCACACCCGGGTTATTGTACTCTTCGGCCATTCTTCGAGTGCCAAAAGCCCGGCATTATATCGAGTCTGACGAACGACCAAACCTAAGCTCTCTTACTTCTTCATCCTCAGTTATCGGACACTGAAAACATTTTAGGGCGTAGGCTTGCTTGTATTTTCTAGGTTTTATCTAATCTTCGTCGCTTTTTCGCCATTCTCTTGACGTCGCTTCTCTTTACTCAGCGTATATTTACGCGACATACAAGATAGCAATTTGCATGGCGCAACAAATCGGAGTCTGCACAATGATTTTCGAGAGACTAATTATAATGCGACATTTTTATGTCCGTCAAACAATATATAATGTGTTATCCTTCAATTTTCAATATATGCGTTCGCTTTATCCGTTAAATTACATTTTGTTAGCAAACAAGAGGAAATAAATTTCTCCAATTCAACAATACGATCAATGTTACGCAAGTAAATAATATTGGAAGAGAGAAAGAGCGAGCGCACAAATGTGTTTTATTATAATTCAATAAATTTAACATATAAATAATTACACTTTTCGCACGCGCGTGAATAATAGTATTCAGAGTTTGTTTAGTGCAAACAATATTCAAATACAATAACATACAAAAACACGTTCGTACGCGATTTTCGCTATACGTTCCTGCATTGTGCTCGGTGCTCGAGTAACCGACAGCGGAAGATTTTATATACAGGATAACGCCCCGCTATCCCACCCTCGGCTGCACTTGAGCAACGTGTTCGGCTACGTTGGGAGTCTAGATTAGCGGCGCTGTCGTTTTCCTTCGATAGGTAAGAACGGTTTGCGCGACGATTCTCTTGTTGCGAAACGCGTCGGCCCCGCGCTCTGAACACATACATAAGTAAGGGATCGAAACGAGAATCAGAAAAGGCAAAACTCTCCTCCGACCTTGGCAACCATGCATCTCGCACCAATCGCGATCACTCGGCAGTTATCCGATACTTCGTCGTGTGCGTGCGAGAGACGGTGTTTACTTCAACGTTGCCGATGACGATTATTCACTTCTCTTCTTTTTTCTGATGTTCACGACTGGCGTCAGGTGCGATATCTTTTTGCAGCACGGTATAAAATTTCGCGTTATAATTCCTTCGCGAAGAATGAAAACTCGGCATCGCGCGACGAAACATGTTGGGCTCGCGCATATTCGGAAGAAGTCGACGTGTCGATTGAGCGCGCACGATAAAGCAATTGCGCAAACAAAAGCGCCGAATATTCCCGTCATCAGCATTTACGTGGACAGCTCTCGTGAATGCACGCAAACACACACGTTCGTAATTTAATTTCTGCATGCCACAGTCTGCGCAAGGCTCTCGAGAATCTAATCGGAGCTAATTGTCCCGAATGACGGTTAATCGACGTATTTAGTAATTGCGTAATTGCGGGTGCGCGATGATTTGACGGCGAAACAATTCGTTAATAATTCGATATGGAGAGCCGCGGCGAAGATAACGCCAATAGAACAAGCTCTCTCGAAGCGTCCTCCTGTTCTTCGTCTTCTCGCTTTTATTCGTAGCGGTAAACTCCCGGCTTTTTGTATAAATTAAACTAACGGAGACTCGGGGCGGCGGAATCGCGAAAATACAAAAGTGAACGGTAAAGCGGCTGAGAAGTCGCAACGTCTCTCCCGGACAATGCGATATTTCATTGCGCAAGCAATTAATTGTTTCATGAATAAATATGGATGCTTTATAATTATGTACCCATGGATCACATAAATTATATCATCAAGTTTATGAATGACTACAGCAGATACTAGAGCAAAAACAAAAAGAGAAGAGAAAGAAAGAAAGAGGTGGAGTAAGCATTTTTCTAAGGCGGGCGTAAATAAGCTTTTGAAGGAAGACGCGATATTCGGCGCCAAAAAGAGAGAGAAAGAAGACAACCCGCACTTATACATCCACGTTTATACTATAAATATTATCGTTCTGTTTCTGTCCTTATCGTTCACGCCCGTTCTGTATCTCAGAAGAGAGGTCAGAAGCGGAACATATGTATATTTGTGCGAAGAACGGAATAAACACGTTTGTAATTGCGCAAATATTTTCGTTGTTTCGTTCTTCGCGCGCCCATTTCGAGTCGCGAATTTTTGCTCTGCGAAATGCATCGAGTAACAACCTTCGCAAATAACCTTCAATTTTCTAACGACTCTACGTACACAGTTTTGCAATTACGCGCAATTTCGAATATAACTGATAGAACTCTATCTTGCGCGAAGTTGTTCGTTCTTTCGACCGCTACGTGTATTCTACACTCGACACGCTCTAAATGACGCTAAGCGCTTCTTTC